TTGAAATGTTGCCTTTTAATTTCTGTCTATGGTAATATTTTCTGGTAGGGTTAAATTACCCACATTATGTGAAAAATGCACTCAGCCAGGAGCAAGTGTTTTATTTTTTACCTGTGGCAATGCATCATCTTCCCTGGCCCACTGGGTAGGGTCAGAGATCTTATCCACAGTTCCCTCAGCCACTTACAGTACTCAAGAGTCAGAGCAAGAGAACATGTGTATGTTTCTAAACAATTTCAAAAGTAGTACATTCTGTAATTGTATATTTTTTTTCTATTTAGGATCAACGGTTAGGATGATGGCCATTAGCTCTTAACAATTTCTAGAAAGACAGGTATTTCTCATACTTGCTTATGACATCTTTGTTTCCTAGTTTGAAAAAGAAATTAACCAGACTGGGCACTGTGGTTCAAGCCTGTAATCCCAGCACTTTGGGAGGTCAAGGCGAAAGGCTTGCCCGAGGGGTTCAAGACCAGCCTGAGCAACTTGGCAAGACCTTGTTTCTACAGTAAATCAAAAAAATTAGCACACCTGTAGTTCCAGTTACTTGGAAGCTAAGGCAGAAGGATATCCTGAGCCCAGCAGGTCGAGGCTGTGGAGGCCATGAGCTTGCCAGCCTGGGTGACAGAGTGAGACTCAAAAAAAAAAAAAAAAAAAAAGACTGGGCTCGGTGGCTCAGCCTATAATTCCAGCGCTTTGGGAAGTTGAGGTGAGTGGATTGCATGAGTCCATGGGTTCGAGACCAGCCCAGGCAACTTGGTGAGACCTTGTCTCTACAATAAAATAAAAAATTAGTCAGGCATGGTAGCACGCACCTGTAGTTCTAGCTACTTGGAAGGCTGAGGCGGAAGGATCGCCGGAGCCCAGCAGATTGATGCTGGGGTGGCCGTGAACATGCCACTGAACTCCAGCCACTGCACTCCACTTGTTACAGGTAAAAATAAAACACTTGCTCCTGGCTGAGTGTATTTTTCACATAATGAGGGTAATTTAACCCTACCAGAAAATGTTACAGAGTGAGACTCCAACTCAAAATAAAAAAAGAAAAAGAAAAAGAAATCAACCAATTAACAGACTTGTAAGCACATTAAATTTGCTTGAAGACATTCTGGATTTATTACTTTTTAACAACTGGAAAAGTACAACTGTTCTTAAGTATGTGTCCATGTGATTACACTCTATGCAGTTCCCTACTTTCATAGCAAACTACTGAATGCATCTAGCCTTTGTACCAGAAAATCCTTTTCACTGACAGTTATTAGAAATGTACGTGGTATATTTTTCTTACTCTAACATGTCACTCAAACGATGACTACAAAAATGTTATGAAAGACATCCATCTTCCTTTCAAGCAGAATGACCTTGAGTATGTCATACAAACTCTTACTATCAGTTTCTTCATCTCTAAAGTGAAGGGTTTGGATCAAATGACCTCTAAATTCCTTCCAGCTCAATAATTCCAAGCCTCTCATTTGTGCCACATAATGTGGTGATAGAATCTTTGAAAAGTTTTAAAAGAAAGTGAACATTTCCAAGGAAACTTCATTTTTATACAAGCATTCCTTGATATTGCATAATATGTAAAAACATGCAATCAAGTTGTCTTATTTGAAAAACATCAAGAAAATCAAAGCCAGGCACATTTTCATAGTACCACAAAATATAATATTAGAATACAATGATAGTAAATACTTTTATGATTTGCCTGATTGTAACCAAATCTCTTTGTTTTAGAAATTTTTACCATTTTTTGAAAAAATGCATCAGTAGGCCGGGCTCAGTGGCTCAGCCTGTAATCCCAGCACTTTGGGAGGCTGAGGTGAGAGGATTGCCTGAGCCCATGGGTTCGAGACCAGCCTGGGCAACTTGGAGAGACCTCATCTCTATAATAAATCAAAAAATTAGCTGGGCATGATAGTGTGCACCTGTAGTTCCAGCTACTTGGAAAGCTGAGGCAGAAGGATCGCTGGAACCCAGCAGGTCCTTGTTGGGGTGGCCGTGAGTGTGCCACTGAACTGGGTGATGGAGTGAGACTCTAACTAAAAAAAAAAAAAAAAAAAAAAATGCTTCAGTCTCATTCAGTGGCACAGATACAAAAATCAAACAATAAAAATACTTTCACTATGATGGTTCCTATTTATTTGACAAAACATCAAAAGTCCTTTAAAAATAATAAAAGTCTACTAATTGAGATGATGATGATAATAGCTATTAAGTAACTTTCCCAAGGTCACCGGGGAAGTGGTGGAGAAGGGATATGAACCCAGATGTGTGTGATTCACACCCCACCCTCATCCTTCCTGCTGTAAGAGGGAGGACCCCCCCAAAATCCCAAAATTTATTTATAAAAATTTGTGTATTCTTTTTTTTTTGAGTTGGAGTCTCACTCTGTCACCCAGGCTGAACTGCAGCTGGAACTACAGGCATGCGCTACCACGCCTGGTTAATTTTTTTGATTTACTGTAGAGACGAGATCTCGCCAAGTTGCCCGGGCTGGTCTCGAACCCACAGGCTCAGGCAATCTACTTGTTTCGGCCTCAGAAAGTGCTGGAATTACAGGTTGAACGACCGAGCCTGGCCTGTGTATTTATTCTTACATGTTTAAATTTAAGTCTCCTTCAAAGTATTCTCCATTTGATGCAGTACACCTAGAGACACTTTTTCCACTACTCAAAACAGTTTTTGAACTCATCAATTTTGATGCCTTTTAGTGCTTCTGCCATATTTTGTTTCATCTCTTCCACATTGGCAAAGTGTCCTGTTTTGGGTCCAACTCGGTGGTTCAGCCTATAATCCCAGCACTTTGGGAGGCTTGAGTCCGTGGGTTGAGACCAGCCCGGGGAACTTGGTGAGAACTTGGCTCTACAAATGAATACAATTTAAAAAGAAATTCTCCTTCTAGGACTTTTTTCATCCAGGGAAACCACAAAAAAAAAGTCTCTTGGGAGAGATGGGGTGAACAGGAATGGTGAGGCACTGGGGCCATGCTGTTTTGGGTCAAAAACTGCTGAGCACTCAGTGCAGTGTGGGCAGTTGTGCTCATAAATCACCCATCATGAAATAGGCAAACGCATTGAAAGAACTTCAAATAAGGCCGGGTTCGGTGGCTCAGCCTGTAATCCCAGCGCTTTGGGAGGCCGAGGTGAGTGG